TGCATACAAATTTGCATCTTCCTGCCTCTCCCCGCTTTCCACAACTCTGATGCGCCTGCCTCTGGGAGCAGACATAGCCACGATAAAAAGTGTTTCTTGCCCTTTGATGACAATTCATAAAACATCTCTCTAGATTCAAGCTTTTCGGTTAGAAGCTCAAATAACAACAACAATAACCACTACTATTCAGTAATAATACCATTACTGCCGCCCCACACGGTTTATTATTAGTAGTAACATTAAGCTCATGCCGTACCATGGAGCTATGAAGCCCTAAACGAAACTTAATTTATGTTTCCTATGAAACCACCGCAGATGACAAACATTGCTCAGTGTTTTGGGTTTACAAGTAGGCTTTCAAGACTGAAAGTAGATCGTATATGAGATGTATTCATTCTTTTCAGTTAAGGGTGATAAGGCGACTGGTAGTTAAATCTTTTCATAATAATATGAGAAGACCTTACATTTCCATCGACTCTCACATGGCTTTGCTTCGAAAAAGATACTCATATAGAGAGAAGAGTGGAACGCAGTTTCGACCTCGCCTAGTTCTTATCAACACCCCAAGTGGGAGTCGAACCATAACAGTGCAGCGTGTAATCTCGACACGTTAACCACTACGTCACACTGTCACAATTGCCCTTGGGTCACAGGGCAGATGTAAATTTCAAGGAAGGCCAGACATTTTTTAATATTACATTTTGCCGTGGGATCGTCGATTAGGCAAAATTCTATTTTTTTATAGCAATTGACTACACTACTTATTTTTCGATTATAAGTAGACTTTCGAGACCACCAGCAGATCATATGCATGAGAGGTATTCACTTTAAACGAAATAGGATGAATACATCTCATATATATGTCCCGGTGTCATCGAAAGAATTGGGCAAGAAACTCATCAAACCTCCGAATGTTGACGATCTACTTGGAGTAATGTTGGCTGAAGTCTGGGCCCTGAGAAGATTCAGGCCAGAGTTAAATTTTACTTTCTTTAGCATCAGCCAGAAAACAGTTATTGGACATGAAATGTAACGAATAATTTCAAACAAACGGTCAGTTAAAATGGCAACTTGCACTAGTTGTAGGCACAAAAAAGACCGATTTGTAGTGCTCTTGGATGCAATATGGATATAGTTTATTGCTTAGTCGATCTGTGGGCTAGCAAGCTAGAATTAGGACTAAACGAGCATAAAAATTGTCAGGCACGTCTAAGCACCCATCATAAATAACGCATGAAGATGAAAAAAGTTGCTCCAACAGAACCCATCTCGGAGCAAATTACATGATTGCTCCCATTTATTTTTCGTATTAAAGTAGAGTTTCGAGACTACCAGTAAATCAGTAATATGAGATGGATTTCCCTAATTTCGTTTAAGGTGATGAAGGACTGTCACGGTTCGACTCCCACTGGGGGTGATGATAAGACCGATGCGATGTCGAAACTGCCGTCCACTGTTGCCTGGATGAGAACAACTTTTGGGAAAGCAAAGATATGTGCAATTTAATGAAAACGTCAGCTCTACTCATATCATTGTGTGAAAATTCTACTAGCAGTACTTCATCGCCTCAAACGAAATAGGGTGAATACATCCCATATTGCTCCCATTTAGCCTGGAAGAATTCAGACCGATCAGAACAGAAAAGAAAAGAAGATGGGATTGGTCTACTGGGCATTTATTGAGGTCGACCTGCTTTGTACACTTTCAAGCGAAATGAAAATGATCGTCACAAGAACAGTACAAAAATCCACCATTAGTGCAGCAATGGAAGTGACTGTCACCAATGCCATTGCGATGCTATCACGGAAGTTTGGCTTACGCACACATCAAAAATAGCAGAAACACGTCGGACTCTTCTTGCCGCAAAAGGATGGCACGTTACTTTGAGTGGTCTCATGAAAGCCTAGGACATGCTGCGGGTGTTACGGCGACATGAGGCCTTATACTTCAGGCCCTTTGACCGTCTTTCTAATTCACTCAGCTTATTTTCAAAATATTGCATTCTGGGAGGTGCATTATCGAGTACACCAAGTTCTGGGCAATCCAAGCTACTGAAAGCCCTGATTCTAAGCAAAAGCAAACAGCGCCCTACCCGTCCAGAACACAATGAATTGCCTATTCTTCATGCTCTTAAGCCTGTCGTGATGGCCGAGAACATCAGTCGTGGGAGCCAACTCACAAAAGTCTGTTCGTAGGCTTGCTTTTTCCCCCTATTGTCCATGTTTCAGCTTCATTTCGTGGCTGAGCAGGAGGGCGCTGTGGTACCAAGTCCATCCCTTAACATAAAGTGATTTATGGGAGGAGAATTTTTGGCTTGTCTCTCACCAATAACAATATAGACAGAGGCAAATCTTATTTTAGGCACTAGCCCCACTTGCATGTGCTCTTCACTTCCGCCTGGCAGGGTGATACATTCAGGCCGTCAGAAGACAGGTGTGACAACGGTTACCAGACCTTTCTCTTGGCTCTCCAGTCACTTGTGTTTACTCTTTCTCAGTTTCCGCACCCGCGTTTGTCTTGTCACACGGCCATCCTCCCTACAGGCATCTCTACTTTCGCCATGCTTGATTAATCACACGTGAAGACATAATCTCCCCTCACGATATACGTCGTCAGTATATTCTGACGACTAGGTTCGCCCAAGTTACCTACGGAGTACGTTTGAATAGCCATCCCGGCCCTCTTTCAGGATGACGGATACCAGCATACAGGACGAAAAGAACAAGCCTGTTACCCCCCCAACTGCAGCCTATTCGTGTGTGTCTGTAAAAAAATTAACTTCCGCCTATTATCCTCTCTTTGGTTCGAGAGAGCCTTCCAAATCACTTTCTAATGGAATCGGAAGGAAAGCAAAAGGAGGGAACCCTAACATGACTTGGTAGTCGGCAACACATGTCGATTTGAACTAGATACTATAGGCGAACCAACTAACGAGATTGCAGAGGACAACGGTGAGTGCTGAGACTTTAAAAATAACAATAATAACAACAAAGCGACCAGCTATAAAAGAAAAAAGATAATGCATAGACACGCGATCTTGGTATCGCTAGTCCGACAAGTTGAAGGAGAACTATAGACATGAAATATAAGATAGAAAGACCAAAATGGTGTGGCCGTTATTTTAGTGAAAGTCTCTTTTTGCTGCATGGAGGTAGTCCTACTTTACACGATCAAGTTGTCATAGCGACATCGAATAACCTAACTGCTCTCGTAGTCAAGCCTATTTCCAGCCACTGGGGCAAACTTGTGCATGCTATAACGATAAACTACATTACTTAAACTCAGAATATGTAGGCTGAGATACTACCAGTTCAATTGTCGTTGGGGCTGCTGACGAGACGGCAAGGCGAAGTCGGAACTACAGTCTAGTCCAGCCGAAAAGAGAATAGTCCCTAGGAGGAGGCAATTCAATGGAAACGTAAGGCCTTGTCGTGTTACCGTGGAAATATTCAACCATCAGTCCTAGGGTGAGTACGATTTTTATTCGGTTTAATAAACAAGTGTTCGTAAGACGTACAATAATTCGCTGATGATAAGACAGATGAGATTGCAATTTTGAAACGCTCTTTAGTGACTTATCAATGGAATGGTGAAGAAGAGCAGAAAGAGAGAAAGCCCCACGAAAAGATGGGGAAAATGCCTATGACCTGAGCCAGATAGACGCAAGCAAGGGAACCAGGGCCAAGATTTTGTGTTGATTTGACCTTGTTTTCGCAACTTGGTCGGAGCGTCAGGGGGACCTTGTGGAACGTATCTGCCATCTCATTCATGATTTCCAGCATTGGACAATTGGCTGGGTACATTCCCAAAATTTTCGCCGGCATCGTCACTAAGAGGCGCCATCGTAAGCGCATAGTTACAACTTATCAAAGTGACAAGTGAAGGCGATCTCCTTGACCAATTTTCTGTTTAACCGTTGTGGCATCACTCCTCGCCCCTTTTTTTCGTCCTACCTTCTAGCGTGGCATCTCTTCCTCTCAACCCCGCTTATATGGTCCATCCACATGTTCACACAATTCAAACGACACTTGGTACTAACGATAGAGGTGATTAAGCTTCACTAAACCCACGTGTAGCGACACACTTTTAGATGATAACAGAGGAAATGAGAACACAGAATTGTGCGAATAAGTGGATGGAACATATAAACGGGGTTGAGAAAAGGAGATGCTGCACTAGAAGGTAGGACGAAAAGCAGGGGCGAGTGATGCCACAACGGTTGAACAGAAAATTGGTCTTCACTTGTCACTTCGACAAGTTGTAACTCTGTCCTTAAGTTGATGCCTCTCAACGACGATGCCGGCGAAACGTTTAGGAATGTACCCAGCCGATGGTCCAGTGCTGGAAATCACGAATACGATGGCAGATACGTTCCACAAGGTCTCCCTGACGATCAGAGCATGTTGCGAAAACAAGGTCGAACCAACACTATAAAGCAAACTGCGAGCAAGCAGAAGGCCACACCATCTTGGTCTTATTAACCAAAATTTCTAATATATCCTTGAGGAGGGGATGCTTAGAGGGGAAGAGTCAGTGCAAGAGCCTTGGAGGAAGAAAGGCAAGGTGAAGGAGAGGCAATAGAAGGCAAGTGACAGAACAAGGAATGAATCTACGGGTTTGTGGGGGACATTCAAAGGCCTCATGTATAAGGCAGTTGAAATGTACATGTTTAAAATGGTTCAAATATTGCGAGTATAGGTTAAAAGGATAAAGAATAAAAAACTGAAAGGGAAGATAACGAAAAAGTGTCAGAATAACGGAACTGGGAATGGTAGAATGAAAGCTGTCCATATGACGATTCCAGTGGAGAGGATCCGATGTCGACAAATGCCAAAGTAGGTGTCCATGTGACCCGAGACAGCAGAGAACAACCGGCATACTCAGACATCGTGCTCCTATTCAGCCTCTCTATCCCTCCGCAGCGCTGCCTCTTCAAGGCCGGCTTTCTCTCGGCTTTGTAGACTCTACCGGGGCCACAACAGTCCGGCAGCCATCCAGACTTACAGAATGGAGATGCATTCGGTTCGTCGAGTCACGTCAACCTCGAGGGAGTCACAGAGACTGGTCAGCAACGGCAGACAAGTGAGGTATTTGCACCAGGGACAGCGGGCTAATGGTAGGTGCCAGAAGACGCCGGCCGCCAGATTGGCCAGAGCCAGCCAAGAAGCGCCGGCCGCCAGCATCACAAAGAGCCGGCGGCGATGCAAAGGATGAGCAAGCCGAGGTGTGAGGCGACGTAGGCGCGGCCAAGCCTGCGGCTGGTCGGGATGCTGTTGGTTTGGCCGGGCGGAGGGAGTTGCATCTGATTGGCTCTGCTGATTGCCCGAGGAGACTCGGGCAGCCTCGAGGGTTGCAGCTACTGGGCGTGTCAAAAGGGACGAGAAAGAGGAAGAGACAGACATAAATAAATGGTGGCGTGTATACGAAGAAAATGCGGGTTTCGCAGGAGCTTATAAGATGAGATTGATGTAAAGACTTTCATTTCGTATGGAAGTACATGATGAAGAGATTCGTTGGTCAATCTCAGCAGAAGACGTTGGCCGATTTGCGTTGTACTGCAGCCGTCTGGCATTTAGTATGACGTTCAGGTTAATGCAGTCCAAGAAACATTCTTCGACGTTTCGGGTGAAGACAGGCTGAGCTTTCGTTCGTCATGTTACGAACATCGTCAAAGCTGGAACTCATTCTTGCAAAAACCTTAAGTTAACGCTAAGTCAAGAGGACTGTCTGGCTTTTTTTATATCATATATTTACTCATTTGGAGCAAAATTTAACATATAAGTGGATATAGAAAGAATTCGTTAATTCATGTATACTCGAGTAAGTTTGTGTGCTAACGTCTGTACGCAAAACTGATTATAACTCAGAGCAATTAGAAAAAAGCTTAACGTCAGCCCGGAGTCATCAAGCCTTAATGACCCAAAGAAAAAAAGGAAAAAGGATGACTGAGATCGCGTTAGTCCGTAAGTAACCCTGGTCGGTAAGCTTTCCCTAAGGTTAATTATAGATAAGAAATTGCACGACCCGTCTTTGCAATGTTGAGAAATCGAAAAATAAGCATTCCCACATCCAATTAACATTTTCGGTGTCAATCTTTCCTTTTGCATGAAATGCTCCTCCATTCTATACATGTAATAAAATGGTTAAAATGGGAGCAAAAAATATCCCTGCATCCTTTAATAAAGCCTATCGTTGAGCATGAAATATATGCTACTCATGGATCCTAAGACGGAACTTTTGCTTACTATATTTGGTTGGGCTCCTCTGAGCTGAGTAACAAATCTTAAGTAAATTCTTGAACTAGAGAATTGGTATAAATCGGAATTTTCCAAAAGGTCATTCAATTAGTAATTTATTGACCTTATTAATAGAACATTTCCTATATTCAGCCACTTTACGGACTCGTGAAATTATATGCATCACGCCTATTTTGATATTAAATATCAGCTCTAAAGCCACTTCCTTATCAGGTAATTTGAAAGACAGTGGATTCATTGTCTACGCACACTTTTAGTACTTCACTAAGTCTGGTTTCAGGAGCCCCAATGGGATCCCTAGCTAGAGTTCGTGTATTCAGATTAAGTAGGTTTAGAAACTACCAGTAGCTTTTGACCAAGAGCTATATTCACCTCAGGTTGCAAAAGCTGATGAAGGACTAATAGCTGTATATTCCCATAATGATATGAAAAGGCCCCATGATACCAGTGAATGTCACTTAGCGATGCCTCTTTAAAAACCAGCTTATTCAGAGTAGACTAATAGGACTAATTAGCAGCCCCAACATGCAGATGAGAAATCCAAGGCTAGCCAGATCCCTTCGATGCCACATTTTGTAGTGGGATTGCCAATGAAGTAAACTTGTATTTGCTACTGAAATCTACCACCTTACTCGTATTCAGATTAAGTAAAACCAACTCATATTCAAGATATAGTGAAAGTTTCAAGACCTACTTAATCTGAATATAAGCAATTTAGTCAATTGTATTAGTAACTACAAGTTGGCTTCTTCGACAGTCGCACAATAAAATGTGATGTGGAGGAAATCTGGCTAGCCTTGAACTTCACGTCTACCCTGTGATCCACTGACAGCCGTGTCAGTATGGCATAATGGCAATCCTTTTCGTATCAACAGCAAGATGTTGAAATGGTACTCTGGTTCCAGTCCTGTTTGGGGTGGTAATGAGATCCAACAGAGGTCAAATCTGCGGTGACGTCCACTCTGAATGAGAATATCATTTGGGAAGCAAGGCTAAGTGAAATTCAACGAAAAACTGAGGCCTACTGATAAGATTGTGGGAAAATAAAACTATCAGTCCTTCATCACCTTATGCTGCCTAGGGTGAATAAGGTTCTTACAAAAAGGTATCTGTCGCCATGACAACCATCATATCACCCTTATCCGCCCTCAAGACAAATAAAGTATTTCGGTGCTGATATCTAGAAATCATATTGAATTCACAAGGTCTGCTATGAATAGGGCCTAAGCTAAGGGCTGGTACAACGGGACATGAGCCTGTCTCTGAGTCTGCAGATGCGGTAAAACACAGCCCAACATACTAAGTATATACTCACAGCTTATAGTGATAACACAACAGCTTCATATAACATAGCATAGCTCGATATGTGATGGCAAGAATCGAGAAAGGAAAAGGATGGCGTAGCAGAAAAGAGCAAACTGCTTCAGAGCAGGACACAATTTTTACAAAAACCTTAAGCTGAGTCAGGAATACTAACCAGGTTAGCCTTAACTACTCTAATCAAAGGATTACATAAACTTAAAATAGCATAAAAAGATTTGCATATGTGAGTGTGCCCAAATACAGGAAATGAGGTTATGTGTATCCATGTTCATGAGCACGAGAACACCAGTGTCAGATACAATTAACTTAGAGAGACGAAATATCCATCCCAGGCTATCAGTTTCTTAGTGATATACAAACTTAGTGAAGCACATCAACGTGATTATTAAAACGATGGGTCCTGAGCATGAAATCACACTACGTGTCAGTCCTATACAACTTCGCCAGCAAATGAGCCTAAGAGGTTTTATTGTCATCTTTTGATTATGTGAATCTTTTGACGTCGCCTTGTCACACTAAATGAAAGTCCGTCCAAAATCTACCATCAAGCAGCTTTTAGTTTATAAGTAATGTCTAGAGACTACCAGTAGATCATAAATATGGGATGTGGTCAAGGTTATGCAGGAATGATAATTGAATTTTTCCAACAATGATATTGACCTTAGGTCACAGCTGGACTGCGGTATCGACCTCGCCTAGGTCGCATCGACACCCTCAGCAGGACTCAAACCCGATTTGTCATAAGTGAGCGTATAATCTTGATGGCTAAAAAACTACGTCACCCTGCCCTGAGTGCCCTTGGACCATAAGACAAATTTGAATTTTCAAGAAATGAAATTCGGCGGTGGGATTGCCGATAAAGTAAAGTGTAATATTTGCTATAGCAATCGACTATA